TGACTGAGTCATCTCCTCAAGAGCGGGGTACCTTATAAAACCGCCTTGCGGTTTTATAAGGTGGGAGAACAAACCCACCCAAACCAGAGGCAAAAAAGCCCTGCACAGCTGAATCTAAGGCATCATCAGGTGTAGCTGACGTGCAAAAACCCTCATATGGAAAGGTTGTCATGAGTATCAAGGTGAGAATCTTACAACTAGACTATCCGACTACCTCATTAACAGAGCATATACTTTGTGCCTGCCCCGCTGGGGACCAAATCAGGTCTTTAGTGTTCGGCAGAGCCGTACTCTCACCATCTGACCTGAAAGACCACTCACCATATAAACTCACTCACCATACAAACTAATCGGCTTCGTTAAGAAGCTGGGTTTATTTGGTTGAGTGTGAATAGGTGTGAGCCACAATAAACCCTTGCGGGTTGCGGTGGAGGGTCGAATAGATCCACTCACTTTAGACTTTTATGAGATTCAATAGATTCCAAATTCCAACTCATCTTTGATCAACAATTAATAACATAACCTAATTATCAGTTAAAAAAAATTCTTGAAATTTCCGTAGACATTGCCTTTAATTTTGATTTTAATATCACTACAATCGTTGAGTAAACTTAGAATATTACTGAATTTTTATCCCAACACCAAACCATTATTTTTAATACATTGACACGTATTTTGATCACCAAGTGATCATCTTCAAGAGGAAGATTAAACTCAATCTTAACTCAATATTCCTCTTGAAGATGATCACTTGGTGATCGAAACAGGTGTCGAGGTGTTAAAAATAACGGTTTGGTGTTGCGATAAAACTCCAGTATTATTGAAGCCAATTGTTGTTCCAAGATTCAACTACACTCCTGAATCCTTCGAAAACTTGAATTAAACACTTGTAAATACAGTTCACCATTTTTGTACATAATATGATCCTCAATTTCCTTGTAACTAATTCTTAAGAATAAAGTTTTATTTTGTACCATCTGACGTGCCCTTCTACCTTTCTATTTGTCAAACCCTGAACATATTTTCTCCAATCCAACTACCTGAAGGAAAACCATGTTACAATATAGTGAAATGAAATACCTAATGAAATTTGTAATTCTCTCAAAAGACGGATGTTAAGAAATAAAAAGAACTTTCTTCTCGAAAGTCCTTATTACAAATTAGAATAGTTTTTGGATAGTAATTTGAACCTTTCAAACTATCATTATATTAATAGTTTTATATGTTTATAGATAATTCTATGTTAGTGTTTTGGTAGTTCTGTCCATGTCTTCCTGTGTGTGTACAGTGTGTATGTATATTTGAATGTTGAATCGGTTATACATATGTATCTGTACATATTATAAACAGTTTATCAGTGTCACTGTATTTAATTGAAGTAGTTCTGATTCTTTTACTTATACTTTTTTAAAGTTATGTTTACTTTAACATTTGTTCAAACTGACATGTTCCACACCTTTTATAGGTATTTTATTGTTGTACACAAGGAACCAATAAACTGTATGTTTACTACTATTTACTTACTAAGAAAAATAGCTTATATACAGAATGAAAGATATATGTGCACAAATATATACATTAAACAATTTCATCCAAACACAATAGTATATTATGCAACGATCATGTAATGATGGTTATTAAGACACGAGCATTAACCGGGATACGAAACGAGCCGAAGGCAAGTTTTGTATGGTATATGCGAGTGTATTAAAAACCATTACATGAGAGTTGCATACGCTATTTCTTCTAAACCCGATAAATAATGAAAAACTATAAATATTATATTTGTATTGAACACATTTACAGTAATTAACTCATTTAAAAAAAAACAAATTTATCATGGATATATGAAAACTATAAAGATTCTAATTATATTTATATTGAATATAACAACTGTAATTAATCTGATCTTTTAAAAATATTGGAGTCGATGGTATTCCTTCTATATCGCTGTTTTCAGACATTTTGATAATATAGGTAGGTAATATGAAAACTGATTTTGACAAATAAAGCAATTACTTACTTAGGTTAGAATCTAGGGCAAACAAAGGAACAGGATTCTTGATTGAAAAATTATGGGTTTCTATTGGTTGATAATCTGTATCGTTATGAAAAATCTGTATCATAATGGATATCATTATGAAACGGATTATGGTCATATAAGTGTATTGTTAGAGTACGGGTGTAGAAAAAACACATTATCGAATAGAACTGGCCAATACTTGATGAAAATCCATATTAAAACTAATTAATACAGTTTATTGCATGATATTCACTATAAAGGGTGTTACATAAACCGAGACACGTGTTTCGCTATACAATAGTTTCCTCAAGTGAGTTTATGCTCAAGCGAGTTTACGCTTGAGGAAGCTATACGTATCTATGTTGTCAGCTGTGTAAAGACACGCGCATCGTCTGAGTCCCGACAGAAACTAAAGTTTCAGTGGTTTTTTACTGATGAAAAATTTCGAATTTCACATCAAAACAACAGTGAAAGTTCCACGAATAAACTTGTGAAGATTAAATTCAGTTTTTAGGCCTGAGTTAATGGATAATCTGATAAATAATTTAATAAGATCTTAAATCGATTCAGTTGAGACTAAATCATAAATTGCCTGAAATTAGCCAGATCTGGCAAGATAAGTAGGTAAAAAACACCCTTCCAGTGGCGTGATTTTCAATTGTCTTCACTGTGAGGAAAAAGGGTAAAGTACTGTGTAATAAGTGTGAAAAGGATTTAGGGGAAGACATTGTCGTATGTGACTGCTGCAATGATGTAGTACATTCAACATGTACTGAACTTACAAGTACCGAACTTAGAGCTAATTTCCTTAAATCAAGTCGATGCATTACGTATTTCTGTGATCAATGTAGGAATAATATCAAGCAAATGCCTAAACTCCTAAAACAGCTAAGTGATATTACGGAAATAAATATAATACTTCGAGAGGAAAATGAAAAATTGCGAAAAAAAGTTGATGATATGAGTATATCCAACCCCCATTTTGACATGGAATCTAATTTGCTTGGAACTGAAGACCTAATATCAGAAATTATAGACAGACAATCATTTACAATGTGAATGAACCTCAGGGAAACCTCCACACTGAAAAATCAGCACAAGAGAGAGAAACCATAAATAATATACTGCAGGACTTCAACGTCAATAAGGAAGAAATAAAACATTTCAGATTGGGAAAACCAACAATTAACCGAAATCGACCCATCAAGGTTATTTTCAAATCACAACATGATACCAGACATATATTGAAGAATAAACAATTAATAAAAATACCCCGTGTGAAAATATCTAATGACCAAACTCCAAAACAAAGGGATTATTTTTGTAAAGTGAAATCTAAATTGGATGAAATTATTGCAGCAGGGGATGAAAATAGTACCATCAAATATATAAATGGAAAGCCCACAATTGACAAACAAAAATTTCAGTCATGTAAAAAAAAACAGTAAATAAGCCTGATATACATTTGAACAGTGATATCATATACCTCAATGCACAAAGCCTACTGAAACATAAAGATGAAATTCAAGAAAGTATTGTTTGTTATGATCCAAAAGTAATTCTATTAAGTGAAACCAGAACAACTGAGAATATTGAAGATGTGGAACTTATAATGGACAATTATACTTGCATCCCTTGTGATTAAAAAAATAGACATACTGGTGGCCGTTGTCATGTATATAAATAAAAATTTCGAATTTTCTATTTTTAAGAAGTTCATACTGGAATCCAACTACTGGTATGGTATAAACCAAACATTAACTGAGCCTACTAGAAAGACACTAGATTCACAATCATTAATATATTTGGTTTTGACTAATAACGATAATATAGTTTCAAATGTTCTTTTAACTCTAAAAATTACTGACCACTCAATTATTTCCTTCAATTTCCTTCTTAGTCAATCTAACAAAGAAAGCTCAATAAGAAAATACAGAAATCTTTGTGATAATAATTTGAGTATAATTAAGAATAAACTCATTTCTTGTAATTAGTCTTTAAACTCTATAGAATTTCTCGAAAAATGTTCAAATATTGTCTGTCAACAGTATTTCTCCCATACAAATAAGTCAGTTCAAAAACAATATTCCTTGGTTTGACAATGAAGTTTTTATCAAAATTAAGAAATGGGATGAAGCCTAAAAATATTTGTAACTACGGTGGAAGATGAAAATTCAAAAATAACCAGATGGGAAAAATTTAAAAAAATTGAGAAACGATGTGGTTAACTCATTGAAAATAAAGAAAGTTCAGTATTATCATAACAAAATAGACAGATACAAGAATAATTCTCATTTGATGTGGAAAACCTTAAAAACCCTTGTTAATAGTAATGATCGTACATTT